AGGACACTCTCAGAGGCAGAGATCCTAAGGATGTCCTCTATGGTTAATTACAGATTGGTAGACGACGTCACGGTCAGCCTCTAACATGACTTTACAATGTGTTCAAGATGGATATGGGAGGTACAGGAACTGAGGTAGATTTGTCGAAACAGGATGTCATGGACCGCATTGCATGGGTGAGGGGAGGAGGGGGGGGGGGGGGGAGTTGGAAGAGAGTAGGGATGAAAGAGCAAAGGATTGCAGACAGGCTAAGAGCTCTCAAAGTCTGAGAAGAAACATGCAAAATAAGAGAAACATGTGAAGTAAGAGAAACACGTAAAACAAGAGAAACATTTAAAATAAGAGAAGCATGTAAAATATGTGAAACACTTAAAAGAAGAGAAACAAATTAAGAGAGACATGTAAAAAAAAAGTGTGATAATAACAAGGGTGGTGAAATTCTAAACACTTATTGTGGCTTATATTTCTTGACATGAGCTGGTCTTGCTAACCCCGTTTCCCACCATCATGGGATATATTTCACTGGTTTCCTATAGCGCCATGGATCCCTGTTGTCTGGAAAGACGGAAAAGTGACAACAAAACAACAGGTAATGTAAAATTGTGTGTAGCAAGTATGATTCTTATTTGGTTGCATCAATGTGGTTTGTATTGTGAACTGCAGATTCAGAAAATAGTGACGGCCTGTTGCCACAGATAGTACCTTATGCAATTAACCGCGTGTGCAACTGTAACTGCTGCTTCCATCAATGATGAACTGTATTCCTAGCATTAAACTGTGTTGGCATTTCTGACAGCTGTCTTATGCCCTGAATGTGTCTGTACTGATTTGCTGAGACTGCAGACGGTGTCAATTTTTCCACAAAGGGCAGTGATGGACATTCAGTGTGGTTTTTGCTTTCACAAATGGAGCAGTTATGAAGGTAACCCACTTGCTATGAATTTGAAACTGTTTTTACCTCATTTGTAGTTGAAAAAATTACAAGAAATCATTGCAATTTACAGTGCATTATTCTAAAAAATCTCATAAAAAACTCCAGTACACAACTTACGGTTCTATAAAATTCACGATCAAAACCTCTTGAGGTATGACTCCCAATGCCAACATTTGGCTCTCCATCTGTGCAGAGAACAATTTCTGATCCAGGTATGTTACTGACAAACCCAGCACAGATAGACAGCGCTGGGCCAAGTGCAGTGGAAGAACCAGCTCTCAAGTTTGTAACTGCCTGATTTACTGATCTGTTTGGTGGAGTATTCATAAAATAATACAGATATATCAGTTATTAAAGATATAATTAATATATAAATATAACACAAGGTCCGACAATTAGGTAATGAGACTAATTCCATTAAAAAAATTAAGATAATCAACAGTTCAAGATATAACCTCTATTTTATTCAAAATTAGCCCCTTTTGCGTTGATACAGCAAGTGGCACGATCTAATAAACACAGAAATGACCTCTGTAGTTCTTCTTTTGTTTAGAGTTGATGTTATGGCCCTTTAGATGTCGTCAATATCATTAAGGAAGCGTCCTTTCAATCGTAACTTTAATTTTGGGAATAGAAAATAATCACAAGGAGACAAATCTGGAGCGGCAAGCAATTTTTAAAAAGTGAGGCGATCAGAGAAGTGTTTGAACCAATATATTTGGCGACTACAATAAGACGAAAGTGGGCACAATCTGAAACAAAATGAGCAAAGAATTATAAAACATGCACTAAAATTGAAAACACACTGTCTAAGAAAAGAAGGCATACAAAAGAAACATTAAGAAGAATGTTTTTACGAGAAGCTAAAATCGCTGGGCTGAACTCCATGTGAGAAACAGAGAGTTGCATGTATTAGAACAGAGTGGAAGAATCAAATGTGAGTCTATGTGATGTTCATCAGTACATGAAAGATGATATATACAAAACTATTTTTCTCATGGTATGCAAAGATACACAGTAAATGTTTAGGTTTTTTTTTTTTTTTTTCAGTGCTACTGAAGTACACACTTTCCCAACACCCTTTGTTAGACACTGTGGTAAGTACCGGCACCTATATTCTTGAAAGAAAGAAAAAGCCCTGTAATATATACACATACAGGAGTTGTGTTTGAGTTACAGCTAGAGGCTCATCACCTCCCAGCCTAAAGGTGTCATGTTTGAATCTTTACCAGATAAAACAAGGCTGAAATGGGGGCCTGGAAATGTGTGGAAAGTAAAAGTGGCTGGCAGGATGGTGACAACTACACACTAGTAGTGGGTTTCAATTGCAGTATGTTGGAATTACAAGCTGGACCCGCAACGCCTAAGCCACAGACACGCTTCCTGTGGATGAGCACCGAATAAAGCATTTTAAAAAGCTATGTCTTGACACTTATTTTAAATAATTTGTATAACTGTGTGTGTCATAACAAAGGGTAGGTTCTGGGGTCACTTTGTGGGGAAAACTAGAAAAGACCCACGGATTGGTCTATAAACAAATATGGGCCTAGAATCATTTGCCTGGCAAAACGGGCATGAAATGTACAACTTTTTTTAAAACATTTTTTTAAAATCTAAAACATAAATATAAATACACATGCAGTAGTACCATGTGTGCACACACATTATTCAAAGCCTCAAAGCTTTTACTGGTATATCCACTTTCCAAAATTCATTGTTGTACAGCTGAAGTGGTCTGACATAATTTCATTACATTTTTAACAAAATAAAAGAAGTGAGATGTTAGTTACATAGCAACTGTCAAATTATGTATGTGTAACTGCTTTTGAAATCTTATACATAAAATGCTGTAACTTGGACACATACATCTAAATCTAAATATACAAACTGATATGTAACATAATGAAAATACAACTATTTGATATATGTGATATGATATAAAAAAAACACTAGAAGTTTCACAAAAATATAAATTATCTGAAACAATACTGCTTTTCATAATTATAAGCCTCAGTAGTTAAACATGGTATTATTTATATTAATATTAAAACAACTTAAAGTTAGCTGTGTATCCTTTACAGGACATTGCAGAACCAACTCCAGCATTTTTCTGGCTTTACTGGTTTTTCCAGGCAAGTTTATGTCCAGTAGTTTGCCACTGCTTTTTGGATGGCCGGCTTCACGATACCATTGTCGAAACCAGCGCAAGGTAAAAGACCCAGAGTTGGGATCAAACCCAGCACCCCGCATTACAAATCACATTCGCAACGTCTCAGTAAAAATCACTACTACTAGTTTAAAACATGGTGCAGATTGAGCCAGTCATATTAAGTTAACCTAAGGACTTACTCAAATGATTCTTCAATGCTCTTTAACGGATAATCTCTTGAAAGACCCACACCCAACTGAAGAAGTTCCTGGAATGATTTCCTCTCTAGTTGTTGAAATATGGGGAAAGTCTCTGTTGTTCCTCCACTTTTGACATGAACGTCAGTGTCAAATACAACAAGAAGCACTTGTTTTGTTGGGTTTTCTTCCTTCAGTTGTTCAATTTGCCTTAAAACAATTCAAAACAGATTTAATATTTCCATGAGCAATAAATAATATGTTCATTACTCACAGATATTCTGATAAATATGTTTTTAATCTGATAAATATGTGTTAATAATATAAAAGTCATACCTGTCACTTTTCAGAGTAAGGAATCTTGTACATAACAATATGGAATAACAATTGATGGGTGATAGGAAATACTGGCACTGACTGTGTGAAGAACACACAATTGGAGGTGATCTCGATTTCGCAGACTATTATCCCAGTTATTCTGCTAAGTAAGAACAGCGATGGTTAGGTTGTTGTGTGGTTTTTCTAGGCAAATTTACATCTAGTAGTTTGTCATTGCTTTCTGGACGGTTGGCTTTCTTTATACCACTGTCGAAACCAACCCAAGGTGAATGGCCCGCAGCTGGGATTGAACCAGGCATCCCAGCATTACAAAGCGTTCGCATCGACTTAGCCACAGAGCCGACAAGAACAGCGATGACATGAAAGAAAAACAGATGATTTAATAAATATAGCATCAAAAAACATTATAAATCACCTATGAAAACACAAGTATATTAAAGGTATCAATAACAGATCAATGAGAAGTCACACTGGAGACAGAAGTAATTAAAGTGACATCAGTTTACCTTTATGTAAAGTAAACGACCCTTTTCCACGCCTTTCAGACATTTTGGGTATATAGGGCTAGACCTATATTTTAAAGACCAATGGCACAAGACAGGGGATGTGGTCAGCATCATGCCAACCACCTTTACTTTCCAGGATTGCACCCTGTACCCACTTAAGGCTGGGTTGACCTGGGAGCCAAGGTCATTTTTGAAAAAAGTCTGGCTCTGCCAGAGAGCAAACCCACAACCTTTTGAACCGCAGGTGAGCGTCTAGCCGCTACGACTCCCAGTTTACCTTTAGGTAGCAATTTTTATTGGAGGAAACAAAAAAAGAAATTATGATGTGCACTGGCAAGACAACAACAGCTTTTTATTTCCTGAAAACATTTTGGAACCCATCCATTTTTAAAGCCAAGTTATGTATTTTCAATTCTCATATTTCAATTTGAACAAATGCCACTGAAAGCTGGTAAACAACAAAAGACATGGAATGGAAATTAAATGCATTAAAATGCAAATGCCTAAGGAAACTTGTGAACTTCAAATGACATGAACTCAAGAAAGTAAACTGATGAGAAGAGAAAACAGCTAGACAACCACTTATATCTACAGTTATAAGACAAAAAGACTGATATATTGGCCAGATCCTAAGGGGAAGTTGGCAAAGAATCACCAAATGGACCAATGAAATGGGATACAAACGGATTAAAGAGATGAGGATGCCTGGCGCGGACTGCAGATTGTGGAGAGGCATGATAGCTCATGCCAGTCAACAAGGCACGATGAGGAAATACATTTGTGTAAATAGTGTGAATCCCCCAACTATATGAAATACATGACATGAAATAAAACAACCAAAACTTTCAGAAAATTTAAAATATCCATTATCTGAAGGGTTGTAAGAAGCTGAGTTGAATTAAGAACTGACATCATAGCATTCAGAACATATGTGCACCATTCCCATTTTCAGCGGCCAGTGTAGAGTTCTAATTCCAATGGTACCGGTAGCAGTCTGATTGTATGTCTGTCTTGTATTTCCCCTGAGAGCTGAATATCAGCCAGATCGCTTAGCCACTCCCTGCTGCATTATTCTCTTCAGACAATGGTGATTTGCCTCTACAATGTTCATTCAATCCATGAGGTTTCTGACAACATTTAGAATGTCATGAACCAATTTTCCACCAAGTGGTGCAGAAGCTGCCAGTTTATCTGTCTGTTCATTTCCCTACACACCTGCATAACCTGGAGAAAATATCCAAAGGTGCTAATTACCTAGACCTCTAAAGATGAAAAAAAAAAAAAAAGTATTCCAATTTATCCTGGAAGGGTTGGGCAGGCTGTGTTTAATGTAAATACAACTACATCAGAAACAGGTAATGATGAAAATAAAGGGTCAGGATGTTAAAAAGGCGTCTCTCACCTCTGAATTGCTCTCTTGATGCAATCAAGTCTTGTAACCTGAGAAACAGTCTCAGTTCCAAATGTTCTTTCCTCACGCCAGGCAACTAAAATACAATTATAGGACAAAGTTGGTAAATATGGTCATTAAAAAAAGATCGTTTCAACAATTCTCCAAAGTCCCATTGAGGAAACAAGGAAAGGGGGGGGGGGGGGGGGGGGGGGGGGGGGAGATTCAACTACTGCCAACTTGGCATGCAGCTACTGCCAACTCAGCATGCAGCTACTGCCAACTCGGCATGCAGCTAATGCCAACTCGTCATGCAGCTACTGCCAACTTGGCATGCAGCTACTGCCAACTTGGCATGCAGCTACTGTCAACTCAGTATGCAGCTACTGCCAACTCGGCATGCAGCTAATGCCAACTCGTCATGCAGTTAATGCCAACTCCGCATGCAGCTACTGCCAACTCGGCATGCAGCTACTGCCAACTTGGCATGCAGCTACTGCCAACTTGGCATGCAGCTACTGCCAACTCAGTATGCAGCTACTGCCAACTCAACAGACAACTACTGCCAACTCAATATACAACTACTGTTAACTCAGTAAGGGTGTTGTAAAAGATGACTAATCAGGGATTTGCAAAATTCTGATGTGTTGGGTTAAACGGTGCAGGTATCTTTCCCAAGGTATAAACCACAATACAGAAGGATATTTCATGTTATTGCTTCCTTTTTCTGCTTCTATGTAAGCTGATTAGTACTTGGAAAGTTTTTTTTTTTTTTTTTTTGTTAACATCTCAATTGATTGTTCGTATTCTTATTTTTCTTCTGAACTTGTTCTGGGTTTGCCCTGAAATTATTTGTTGACACACTGTATTGTGGTTTACACCTTGGGACAGATTCCTGCATTGTTTAACCCAACACATCAGAATTCTGCAAAGCCCAGTGGCAATGTACCAGAAACTGTTATTTATGTGTACCACTGAGATAAGACTGATTCATTTTCTTCTTTGTATTGTTCACCAGCTAAAAATCTCTGGTTGTTCGTCCACTTCTGGACTTTGGTCTTGTTCTAAAGCTAAATTTTTTTTTTTTGTGTGCACACATCCGTTTTACAGATCTACCTAATTTGTATGCAGACTTTTGGTTCCTTGCCTCTCAGGCAGATGCACTCTGACTTTGCAGGAAGCACGATTAATTTGTGTCACAACATGCTTATTAGGGGAGCAGTGGGTCTATCTGTCCTTCAAAATTGGGTCCTGGAACCCTAACTGGGAAGCCTGGTTTAGAACAGCTATAACCCAGCAGTAAAGAATGACTGACCAAAGAAAGCAGTTTAAAATAATACCCCAAAAAATTATATCAAAGCACTGCTAAAGGAGTGTAAAATGATAAAATGTTTAATATTGAAACGTACGTAAACAGCTGTAAAGTATTAGGTTAAGGGTACCAGTGGTATCTTGGTTAACTCCTTCAGACTTGTAAATGTGTCGTAGGTAATTAGCTCTACACAAATCATTGGAATTTTGCCACCTTTTTGGAATATAGTGCTTCACTGTTATAGACAAGCACAGGACTCACAGCCAATTAAGGTCAGGGATTAAAATTCCTTCTCTCCATAGCATAAAGCCTGGGCAGTATTGTAGAGATCATTGTTGCCCCTGCCGTATTTACTCCAAAGGAAAGGTAGCACCAGCAGATTCGGAGAAAAGCAGGCTGCAAAAGCTGCCAGATCAGAAGAGCAGTGCTCTTGCTGTATGTCTGTCTTGTGGTTTCTTGATAGAACAGCTGCTCAATATGGCTTATGGCCTGATCTGCCCTGCCTTACCATAACATTACATTTTCAGTTTCCATATCTTCTTCCTAGGATAAGGCCAGCATCCTCTCTGTGCTCTTCTGCTTGAAGCCGTTGGCATAACATAAAAAACATCACCCAACATTTAGTGCCAACTCCTTACAATTGATCAGAAAACACTAAATAAATCTGGCATCTCTGTCTCTTTCATTGTGTATTATTCTCTTTAAAAAATTATGCGCTTGTGTTTCTTTAAAGTGAATATTTTCCTACAGTGAACATGTAAATAAAGTAACAGATCCTTTCATACTTTTGGCTCATCAAACATATGAAGGTAGACTCATAATTTTATAGACCAATCAGTGCTCGATGACGGATATGGTCATTTAGCCTGTGAAATTCTTCTGAGACATTCTGTGAAAATCTTCTGAGACGTGCTGTGAAAATCATGAGATGTGCTGTAAAAATCTCTTAATACAGGCTGTGAAAATATTCTGAAATGGGATGTGAAAATATGAGATGAGCTGTAAAAATCTTTCAAGATGGTAAGATCCAACTCCTTTAGTTAATTTCTCACACGAAATGTTTTTCTTTTCATTTTATTAAATAATTTCACATAACAAATCATTACAAATCATGCTGCAGGAACATAAAGAGAATGGGAGCTGCCACTATGGTAACCAGATTTCATTAGTGTGCACAGACTAAGCACTGAAAATAAAATGATACATGACATAGTGTTATGGACTCATTTGGGATAATCACATTTTACTTAGAACAATCTGTCTTTACTGCGTGAATTTTCCACTTGTTAAGACCATGTAAGGCTTACCAGGCATATGATGCTGGACTTATTTTTTATAGATCAGTCAGTGCTCAGTGAGTGATGTGGTCAACATCAAATCAGCCATTTGAGGAGTTAATGTTTCACGGATAGTGCAATCACCAAAAACTCTAAGTTTTCTTCTTCTTTCTTCTTGTTCGCATTCACTAGCTGTAAACTTGGCAGAAAGTTCAGGTTGTTCATCCACTTTTGGACTGCAGTCCTGTTTCAGAACCTGAGTGTTGCGTGTGCATCCATTTTACAGATATGATTTATTTGTATGCAGACTGCTGGTTTCCTTGACTCTCTGGCAGTTGCACTCCGACTTAGTCGACTCCCATTTAGTCCACTCTTACAACATGCTTTTGGGTAGGCAGTGGGTTTATTCTTGTTTTTTCCTATAACAGGGCCCGGAACCCACACAGGGAGGTCTGCAGGTAATGATTGTTATTTTGCCTCAGACAGAAATAAATAACCACCTTACCAGATATTTGAGCCCATTTCCTGCAGGAAAGCTCAGCTTTCCAATCATTTGGCCAGTCTCTTACAAAGAACTTACTTAGAACTAAAAAAAAAAACAAGTTTAAAGCCCACCTATTGGACAAGAAAAAAAAAAGATGTTTTGACCAACTTACCATGTGACTCTGGAACACGACAAAGACCTTGCATGGATCCACTAACATCCATGCAGTACACTGTCACTCCTTTTGTCGTCACTTTCTTCTTCTCTACAACAACTTCTTCAACAGTTTCTTCTGTAGCTGTCTGTGGTGGTGCAGGTATCAGCATGAAATCAATAGAATCTGCTTTGGGGACTTCATTCTCTGAGATGTTTAAGCCACCATTGCTATGAAAACAAAACTCGCTGGGGATAAGAGAAGAGTAACATTATGCACTTTCATAGAGCTAGGAAATGGCTTGTAGTCAAACGAAATTATCCCCATGTGGGTTTTCAAGCCTCATTGTGAAATTGACCCAAAAAAATATACCCATTGCTCCCTAACAAGAATGTCCTAAAAGTCTCATTAGGAGTGTTTCCTTTAAAGTCAGAGTGCATCTACCTAAGAGGTGAGGAACCGGCTGCACACAAATAAGTGTAAAATGGATTATGTACACAAAACTTAGGCTCTGGAAAAAGATATTAAAGTCCAGAAGTGGACGAACAATCACAGCTTTCTTTCCAGTTTACAGATGGTGAACTCGACGAAGAAGAAATGAAACAAACCAGTATATGACAGAATTTTATCTGTGATGTCAAATAAGTAAAATACAATGGATTAGAAACAGAAATAATACCAAAAACAATTGCTAATCAGTTATAAAAATTAACACATATACGTTCAAAATTAAAAGAATTAAATGCTATGATAAAATCCCCAATTTATACTCATAAACTAGACACATGTTATTGAATTATGAGGCGGGAAAAGACACTGACCTTGGATAGAACACACATTTACAAAACAGTTAATATTCTTTGACTGAATAATGTGTTGTGAGCCTCTTGGAAACAAGGAAAAAAAGAAAAAGTTGGAATTTTACCCCCCCCCCCCCCCCCCCCCCCCCATCCTTCCCAAAGAAAATCTGTGTGTTACCAGAGTCAATAAAATGGGAAAAAGGGGAGGGGGAAGAAAAGTCCCGCAGGTGGAGCAAAGATTAGTCAGGTGCATTACCACAGAGTTTATATTAGCATATAATGAAGCCCACACACACAACAATTAATCCTTTCAGCCGATTTGAACAAAAAATGTCTGTCTCATCAATCTGGTCAATCTCAGAATTCAAGGTGTTCATGTGATTACTCATAGACTTCTGTTAGTAGGATACACAGCTTACATTCCTCCAAAGGGGCCCTAGAACTCACTTGTGGAAATGAATGGTTTAGAATGGCTTTTGTTCTATTTAGTCAATTCAATACAAAATAAAAAAGGAGCTGCAATAGTATAGCGGATAGACACTTGCCTGCGGATCTGAAGTTTGTGTGTTCAGGCCCTGAAAGAGCCGAACTTTTCTTCAAAATGTACTCGTCTCCCAGGTGGACAAAACCTTAAATGGGTACTAGGTGAAGTCCTGGGAAGTAGAGGCCCTGTTCAGGCCCTAGAAGAGCCAAACTTTTTTCAAAATGACCTTGACTCCAAGGTCAACCCAACCTTAAATGGGTACTAGGTGAAGTCCTGGAAAGTAAAGGGGGCCAGCGAGATGTTGACAAATCACCCACTGAATGCTGATTGGTCTAAAAAATACAGGTCTAGCCCTATATGCCCAATACACCTGAAGGCGTGGAAAAAGGCCCTTTACTTGCTTCAAATACTACAAACTACTTACCATTCCCACTTTTTAGCTTCTCCGTCTGCTTTCAGTACTGCTGTACTTGTAAGCACAGCCAAACACTGGGCACAGGTGATTGGGTCTCCAGTCACCAAGTTTGGTTCGTCTTCCAGAATTCTCAGAGGAATGAGCACAACGTTAGCATCTGTCTTCCTTTCTGTGATTGTTATTCCAGCTCTAGGGGGCAGTGGTGGTATTCCAGCAATACTTCCGCCTGATTGTGCTGCCACACAATTGAATGCTGCAATTTAAAATAGATGAAGTCATGAAAAATAAAAGATGAAAGTAATATCTCTCCTCTTCTTCTTCTTATCATTCTGCATTCACCCTAACTAACTGTATTGTTGTTCAAAGCTGGGCTATGATATCTAAGCCTTTCGGCTCACCCAAACTATTTAAGCAAAGCATTAATTAGTCACTTTTCACAATCTGTTAGGGGACAGTGAGGTTATCCTCCCACTCCTCCCCCCCCCCAATTAGAAATGGTTTTTCTATGTTAACCCTTTACCCTGAAACACTGGCATTAACTAGGTGTCTTAGAAATATATTACTGTAGAAATGTCAGGTAATTGGCACTCTGTGGAGTACAGGGATAGAACCTACTGGAAGGGCTCGGTTTGTGGATTCCCAGGCCAGAAGGTTTATTACTGTCATCAGAGTATGAAATGTTGAAAACATTGCATACCTTATGTAAACATTAAAAGGATCTTTTCATGCCTTGAGGCAGGTCTGTCATATGGTGCTAGCAACAAATATTTTCAGACGACAGACATTCAGTAGATGATGTGGTCAGCATACCAGCTGCCTTTACAGCTCTCTATTCACCCTTTCTTCTTTGTTCATGATCATTTCAACATTCTTCTCCATAAGTAATTTTAACATTCTTCTCCATAAGTAATTTTAATATTCTTCTCCATAAGTAATTTCAACATTCTTCTCCATAAGTAATTTCAACATTCTTCTCCATAAGTAATTTCAACATTCTTCTCCATAAGTAATTTCAACATTCTTCTCCATAAGTTATTTCAACATTCTTCTAAATTACCATATCTCAACTAAATCCAATTTGTCAAATTGAGTTTGTTAAGCCCAGTTCTAATATTCACATGCTCAATCAGAGTTGTTACTCAACACAGTCATTTCAATGACCATTTCATTCAGAACTTTGTATTAGGAAATAATTATTAGTTTAAAATGACATAGAGGGAAATAGAGAGAGTGAGAGAGAGAAAGAGACACAGAGAGACAGAGAGACAGGCAAACACAAAGAGAAAAAGGCGAGGTTAGTTGTGTAACCTTTACAGGACGTTGAAGAACCAACCCCAACAGCCTCTGGCTGATGTGTGGTTTTTCTAGGCAAATTTACGTCCAGTAGTTTGCCATTGCTTTCTGGACGGTCAGCGTTCTTGGTACCACTGTCAAAACCAACACAAGGCGCCTGGCCTGCAGCTGGGATCGAACCCGGCATCCCGGCATTACGAAGCACTCGCATCGACTTAGCCAAAGAGGAAGAGAATTAACATCACTGCACCATGGTTTAATTCCATAAGGCTGAATCTCCCAAACGAGTTACTAGCTACCTGACAAGACTACATAAAGCATGAATTCCTTAGCTCAAGCAATGATTTTCATGGATCTCAATCAAATGATGCAGTCCATATCATGAACCCAAGAGCTTCGGAACTTGAGGCAAATGGCTTAACTACTCAGCTATGGACATCCTTTAACGACTGATTCAGACAGAACAAATTACAACACTTTGGGACTAAAGGAGTTAATTAGAACAAAACTTACTTTGTATATCCGCACTGCGATAGAATGACCCCTTTAATCGGTCAAATAAACCACGTGATTTTGCATAGCTCTTTTCAGGAACCATTTTCAGCTTTTCCTCTAAAGATTTTTGCTTGTTTTTGCTCATTTTTGGAAGACCCTGAACTTTGATCATTTTGCGGTAAGAATCTTCAATAGTCGGATCATAATCATCCAGAAATGTGTTGCTGACAAAGCGGAGTGTAATGCATGATTTTCCAACTGCTCCACTTCCAAGCATGACAATCTGAAAACAATTCATTAACATTTGTATCAGTTTGTTTCCTTGAACCTGAGTGACAGAGGACTGGAATAGGACAAAGCCAAAAAAGAAATCTGCTGACAGTCTCTTTGGCAAACTTCTACATCCACTTCTGGGCTCTTGTCTTGTTTCAGAACTGGACTTTTACATGCACATCTGTTATACAGATCCGGCTTATTTGTAAGCAGACCGTTGATTCCTTGCATCTTAGGCAGATGCACTACACTTTTGAAGGAAAGACCTTTAGTTAGTCCCCTTCTGAGACATGCTTGTTGGAGGGCAATGTGGCCTCTATTACCATTTCTGGTGTCAAGAGAGATTTATGGTTCTGTCTTTTGCTCTTCTGACCGCCTCAACCGTAGACACATTGTGCTGTTGTAGAGGTTATCTGATGCAATCTTTCTATCAGGTTCTTGGTCTGTCTTGTGCTCTTTGTCCATCTCTTCTGGTGTATGCTTTGCATGATATGACGTCACAAGGCATTCTTTCTGAATGGGCAAACCATTTGATTTGCTTAAAAAAAAAACCACAACAGCAAAAAAAGTTGGGGTTGGTTCTGCAAAGTCCTGTAAAGGATACACAACTAACTTATTTAATTTAAAATTGGTTTTCTGATGACTTTTTCTGTTAAGACCTCATTTCTGATTTTATCTCTTCTGGTCACTTCTGCAGTCCTTCTCAGACATTTCATTTCCAGGATTATTTATATTATTTTCTGGTTTGTTGTGAGTGACCTTGTCTGGTGGTTTGTTGAGAGTGACCTTGTCTGGTGGTTTGTTGTGAGTGACCACGTCTGGTGGTTTGTTGTGAGTCACCATGTCTGGTGGTTTGTTGTGAGTCACCATGTCTGGTGGTTTGTTGTGAGTGACCATGTCTGGTGGTTTGTTGTAAGTGACCATGTCTGGTGGTTTGTTGTGAGTCACCATGTCTAGTGGTTTGTTGTGAGTCACCATGTCTGGTGGTTTGTTGTGAGTCACCATATCTAGTGGTTTGTTGTGAGTCACCATATCTAGTGGTTTGTTGTGAGTCACCATATCTAGTGGTTTGTTGTGAGTCACCATATCTAGTGGTTTGTTGTGAGTCACCATATCTAGTGGTTTGTTGTGAGTCACCATATCTAGTGGTTTGTTGTGAGTCACCATATCTAGTGGTTTGTTGTGAGTCACCATATCTAGTGGTTTGTTGTGAGTCACCATATCTAGTGGTTTGTTGTGAGTCACCATATCTAGTGGTTTGTTGTGAGTCACCATGTCTGGTGGTTTGTTGTGAGTCACCATATCTAGTGGTTTGTTGTGAGTCACCATATCTAGTGGTTTGTTGTGAGTCACCATATCTAGTGGTTTGTTGTGAGTCACCATGTCTGGTGGTTTGTTGTGTGTGACCATGTCTGGTGGTTTGTTGTGTGTGACCATGTCTGGTGGTTTATTGTGTGTGACCATGTCTGGTGGTTTGTTGTGAGTGACCTTGTCTGGTGGTTTGTTGTGAGTGACCTTGTCTGGTGGTTTGTTGTGAGTGGCCTTGTCTGGTGGTTTGTTGTGAGCATGTTTGACACATGTAGCTTGTGTGTTGGAACTCATATGTTTATTGCTTCTGTCCCATTCATCTTTTATAGTAATCCACTCTAATGCAGTTATTACCTAACTCCTTCTGTCCCATGTAATATTATTTCAACTCATTAACCCTACCAGTTTACCAGGGATTTCTTAACCTGTCTGTATACCGCTGGTCCTGATTTTTTGCTTTTTGCATAGTACGGAAAAACGATGTGTAACGGACTAAAAATAACCACCCAATCATTATCAATCCTTTTTGTTAGACATTGCAAATGTCTGCCCGCATGTGTTTGGATTATATTTGTGTTGTTTTATGTGGAAAAATTCTGAAAATTTACATTGAAACGAGTGGCTGATGAACCAAGTTCTAGGCTTTTCACAGTCCAACAGGTGATCGATACTTTGGTTTATTCGCACTCTGTAATATATATATATATTCATTATATGTGATAATTTCATAAAGAATACGTTCTTGAAGTGACACTGTCAGTGAGAGCGCTAATGATGAGGAAAATCTTGAAAAATTATCAATCTTGAAATAGATTGATAGTAGGAGGAGGGGGTGTGTTTATCAAACGGCAACATCTGGTGTTCACTTTGTGAAAACAAAGTTGATCCCGATGAGTGAATTCGCACACAAAAGTGGAATATTGGTGCTAGATAAAAGGTAAGTGTATTTTCTACAATGTCTCCAAGTTTCATCATATTCTAGCCACTTGTTTGCATGTAACTAATATGTTTGTATATCATGTTGGTTTTTTCGCGGTAATGCCCAGGAGCTCAGGTTATAGGGACAGTTATGTTCAGGGCCTCAGGTCTGGTAAGGTTAAGACTCAATGATTGCTACTGTAAAGTAAACAACATCTGGGATAGAAAGTATTACACAGAAAATGTCTGGGGCTCAAAGAGTTTGTAAACTTGCAATAAAAGACTTATTAAGGGTTTGCAAATCAGATGTGTTGGGGCTAAAGGGTGCAGATAACAATGCCAAGCTGTAAATGAAAACACAACATGCCATCCGCCCTTTTTAAGGGTGATTGCAGAAGAAGAAGAAAAAGAAGAAGCAGAAGAAGATGGAAAAAGAAGAAAAAGATTAACTTTAAAGAAAACTCATGATGAGTTCCTTGGTACTAAATAAGTTGAGTAATAAGTGCCTAGGGGGAAAAGGCATTGTTTCAGGTACCTTATATTTTATGCTGGTTCTTGGAATTATCTTGATGAGGCCCGTCATAGCTTCAGTGACACCCTCTCCAGTCTTGGCAGACGTCTCAAAAAATGGTACAGCCAGCTTTTTAGCCAAGTCTTGTCCCTCCTGTGTTGTTACTGTGGCTCCAGAAAGCAGGTCCTGTTTATTAGCTACCAAAATCTGAAGGGAGTTTAGATTTTTTCCAATAAGTATAGCATAAAGTGAGTATATTCAGTCAACACAAAACATAAAACTTTAATGTACTTTGAATAAGATTAAATATAATTCTTTTTTACTTTTAATCATATGTAAGAGAGTATGTGAGTGACGCATAAGAATATTAGTGTATGTAGGAGCACCCGTGTGTGTGTGTGTGTGTGTGGTGTGTGTGTGTGTGGTGTGTGTGCGTGCGTGCGTGTGTGTGTGTTTTTGTGTGTGTGTGTGTGTGTGTGTTTTTGTGTGTGTGTGTCATGCGTGTGTCCTTGTTTGTGCACCTTGTTTATTTCAAATGTGTATGCAGAAATGTGTGAACATATGTCTGTGCATACATGCATATGTGTGGGCACATGAGTGTGTGAGTGTTAGGATAAGGAAATAATTGTTTTAACAAAATATTTTAAAGTCTAGAGGTTCGGCTTCATTGCACCAGTTTGATCCCACAAGGCTAGGTCTCTGTCCAGTGGCTAGCAGCTCATAGGAGCCTTACACACAGGAAGTCTGAATCACAACCTTGAGAGTTAGAGGTAAATAATGTTACCAAATTACTATGGAGGCACCTGCTTTTGCAAAAGACATGTGGACTAACAATGAGAAGGCTGGGGATAACATAGTAATCATTTTAATTTACATAGAAATGTGTGCAGAATTAATCTGCAGTGAATCCTCCCTATACATCCACTTTCTGCTAATAAGTAGGAAAGCTGCGTGGTCTCAAGGCATGGTGTCTGCCTCGACTGCTAGAGGTTCCGGGTTCAATCTCCGTTAAGGGCTGTGATTTTTTCATGTGGACTTGGACTTCTAGTAATTTTCCCCTGGTCTCTGGGTAGTAAGATCGGACGCCCGTGTACATTGTTTCACACATGAAAAATCCCTTGGCAGTTGGAAATTGAAAAGAGTAGCTATGCGTTGCCTAGGCAAAATTTGGAGTTTAAAATCTACCCTAAAGTATTTCAAGATCCTTGCTGGTGCTACAAAGCACTGTGCTAAGCTTCTCTGGACTCAGACTCGAGTTAAAAGAAAAACGAAGCATGTATTGGTTACACCCGTGTGCCATTATGTTCATCTGTTGTTTAAAATCTCAAAAATCTGCTAATAAGTGCAGCTTGGCATATGACCTGTTTTCTTGGAAAAGGACTCTGCTTCCAAATAATAACATCTCCCTCTCCTCCCTTGTCAGTTCTATCCTAGTAGGCACTCGACTCTTCTTTTCATTTCATTTATTAATCTAACTTGTATTTATGTATTTTAGTATTAAGTAGAGAACGTAAAGGACCCTTTTCCACGCCTTTAGGTGTATAGGGCATATAGGGCTAGACCTATATTTGTATAGACCAATCAGCACAGCATGAGTGATGTGGTCAGCATCACGCCGGCTGCTTTTACTTCCTGGAACTGAACTCTGTACCTACTCGAGTCATTTTTGAAAAACAGTCAGGCTCCGCCAGGGAGCAAATCCGCGAACTTCCACTCCGCAGGCGAGCATCTAGCCGCTATGCCTTGGCGATTCCCTTTTAGTATTGGGTAGTGTTTAAATGGTTTATACAATCTCAATTTATAAAGTGCCCCAAAAAAAAGTTTTTTTTAAAGGGAATTAATTAATCATTCTCCCTTAATTTCATATGGGAACATTTGGTATATCTCATGTCCGGTTTAAGTTAAAGAATATGGAACAGATTAAGAATGTGTACCTAGGTGCCACTGTGTATGTGTGTGTGTGTGTGTGTATGCATTTTGGGGATTGGGGGGGGGGGAATTCCAAAGAATAATGAGGTGAGGAAACCTGAGTACACTGCACTGAAACTTACAAAGCCAAACAAATAAAATGACTAAGGAGAGAATTTAAAAAAAATGAAAAAGATGACATGAATTGAATTGGCAAAGGACCTGGCAGAGTTGGCCTGGGCCTATGCTCCATTTAAGTAAAAAAGTAAAATAAAGGACCATTTCCATGCTTTCAGGCAAATTGGGCATATAGGGCTAGACCTATATTTAATAGAACTGGTCACCACTCACAGAGTGATGTGGTCAACATCACACTGGCTGAATTCACTTTCCAGGACTTTACCTCTATTTGGGGATATGATGAAATTTGGTCTCCACAGTAAAGGCTAGCTGCAATGGATTTCCAACGCTCTCCGTCTCTCCTCTTGGTTGTCATTCTCTCAGACCCTGTACATCTCTCGATGTTGTCCTCCTCTCAAGCGTATCACTATCTACATCTTGCTTTCAATCTTTCCCACAAGTAACATTCTGAAAGAATGTTATGGCTTTCAATGAGGTTGAAATATTTTCCTTTTTTTCTCCAGCAACTCCTGTTTTTATTGTCAGTCTTTCTATAACTTCTTTATCAGATTGTTTTTGTTTTGTTTAAAAAAAAAAAAAACTTTGAAGATAAAGGTCACTAACAACAACAACAGAAAATAACAGAAAAGAGCTAACAAACCAGTAAAACATAAATATGTAATTATTGGGGGTGAAATAATGCATGACATCCCCATGTGAGTTCCAGGGCCCCACTGTGGGGAAGACAAGAATAGACCCACTGCCTTCTCAACAAGCATGTCATAAGAGTTGACTAAATGGCAGTTTCCTTCAAAGTCAGAGTGCATTTGCCTGAGAGGTAATTAACCAACAGTCTGCATACAAATAAGTCAGATCTGTAAAATGGATGTGCACACAACATTCAGGTTCTGAAACAAGTCTAAATTCCAGAGATGGATGAACAACCAGAACTCTCCGCTGGAGTTTACAGCCAATGAACACCGATTACTGAAAAAGAATTGACATCATAGCACACGGGGCTTACCCATAGATGCTCCGTCTCCTGCAACAAATGACGTTAGGTGCAGATGCTAACTGTTCCCATAGCACACTGATTACACACATGCCGATCTCTTCCTCTCATATGTCCCTCCTTGCAGGATCCACACTGAATTCCTTGTTCACACATTTTCGCCCATGTTATTTCATCTAATCTCATGTCTTCTGCCAAAAGTCGTTCATATATGGTCTAGAGAATATCTCCCTTGTCCAATACGAGTGTTCCCGATGAACACTAAGAAAAAGAAAATGCATGACAAGCTGGATATTGTAAGGGTCTTTTGGCAGCAAATGAACAAACAGTGTGGAGGAATTTGAGGAGAATGGGGCAGCCAGGAGTGACCAGGAGATCTGGCCAAAGCTTGACCTTCAAGGGGAAAGGAGAGGTGGATATGCAGTCATTTACTGGTGCCATCAGAACTGGAACTTTTTGAATGCTGCTGAAGAAGAGAAGAGGATGGAGTGCTTAAAAGAATTTCTGAGTGCTGTGATCTCAGTCAATTCCTAATTTAACATTCAATATTATGTAATTGTTAAATTCTGCTTTAACACGTTCTCCTTGACTTACAGTATGAGGAGTGGTTTGTTTTATGCGTACAAGCCAGTTGAAGATGGACTCTGCTTGGGTGAAGCTATTCCTGTCAGTGATGCTGTAAATGATGACAAACCCATCTCCTGTACGCACATACTGGTCTCTCAGAGATGAGTACTCCTCCTGCCCTGCCGTATCCAGAATGTCGAGGAGACAATCCTAATTGAAATATAATAATGATATTGACATCAGAAATAGAAATGTTGACAGTACAGACAAATTAAACTACTTCTTCGCAATCGCCGGCTGTAAAATCCAGAGGAAAGTTCTGGTTGTTTATCCATTTCTGGACTTTAGTCCTGTTCCAGTACCTGAGCATTGCATGCACATCCATTTTACAGTTGTGACTATTTTATGCAGAGGTTTAGTTCCTTACATCTCAGGCAGATGCACTCCGACTTCGAAGGAAGCTACTAATTGGTGGATTCTTACGAAATGCTTTTGTTTTCCTCACAATGAGGCCCCTGACACCACACAGGTAGAAAAACTAAACTATACTATACTGTGCGAAATGGTGTTTTCCAGTGATAATGCAGTTATAGTTTAAGAATTATTTACTTATTTTCTTCTTATTTTTCTGTAAATTCCAGAGGAATTTCCTGGTTGTTCATCCACTTCTGCGCTTAAGCCTTGTTATAAAATCAAAGTTTTACCTACACATGCATTTTACAGATCTGGCCTCTTTGCAGGCAGACTGTTGGTCCTTGCCTCTCAGGCAGATGCTGACTGGACTCAAAAGAGTTAAGACAATTAGGCACATCCTGAAAAGTGGACAAATAATCCCCAAACAGGCACTGAAAAAGGAAACAGATGGACTCAGGAAATGACATACAAAAGAAAACTTAGACAAGTACTGATCTTCTTCTCTCCCATCTTGTACCTCAGCGAAGTGTCAGGCGGAGATTTAGCATTCGTTGATGAGCTCTGTCAAGAGCACTATTAAGACTGATGTTCATTGCTGTAAGGCTGTTCCTAATGCCATCACTCCATATTTTCTGAGGTCTTCCACTCGCTCTATACCAGTTGTAACGTTTTAGTGTGGCTCGCTGTGGCAGATAGTACCAGGGCATTCTTGTTAGGTGTCCAAACCAATTCATTTGTTGTTCTTTGATGACCTGTAAGACTGGTTTTATTCCTAGCATTCATCTGATTTTGTTATTTCGTATTCTGTCTTTCCTTGAAACTCCTGCAGCTCTTCTAAGACATTTTATCTCTGTTGTCATAATTTTACGTTCATTGGAGGATGTAAGTATCCACGTTTGGCACTGATAGCATAGTGTTGGCCAAAAAATAGTTCTGATAAAATTCACTTTAGTACTCCGGGGTATCTGCTTGTGCGTCAACAGGGAAGATAGTTGCCCCATTACTTGATTAGCTTTGGCACATCTGGAGCTAATTTCTCTGTCCAGTTTTCCGTCGGATGTGAAAATTGCCCCCAAATACTTAAATTCCTCTGTTTTTAGGGATTTTTTTTAAATTTTATTTCTAAATTGTCTTTCTGTCTTCCTATTACCATTGTCTCTGTCTTCATAGTGTTTATTTTCATATTATATTTCTCCCCTTTGTTACTAATTTGATTTAGGTGGCTCTGTAGGCATTCTGCACTTTTTACTATGAGTACCTGGTCGTCGGCGAAAAGTAATTCTGTAATATCTTCTTTATGATTAAAGTTTGTTTCCTTACATATGGCATCCATGTATGTTATAAAAATAAGTGGTGACAGTACACAGCCCTGACGCACACCAGAGTTCACTATAAAAGTTCTAGACAATCCTGCCTTCGATCTTATGCAGCATTTACTCTGTGTGTACAGGTTTTTTCAAATATTAATCAGATGATTGTTGATTTCCTCCCTCCCCTCTCCCCCCAGCCCATACATTCCAACAACATCTCTCTGTCGACTCTATCAAAGGCTTTTTTCTTGTCTATGAATGTCAGCAAACATGTCTTATCATGTTCTATTGCTCTCTCTGATAGATGTCTCAATGCATAAATGGCATCTGTGCAACTTCTGTTTCATTGAAAGCCCATCTGTGCTTCTGAAAGTTGATACTCTATCAATGGTCTTAGCCTTCTTTTGATAATCTTAGACATATTTTCCCAGTGTGACTGAGAAACGATATTCCTCTGTAATTAGTACAGTACCTCCTACCACCTTTATTTTTCCACAGAATGACGATAACAGCAGTTTCCCAATCTGATGGTGTTTCTTGATTTTCCCATGTCACCTGAAATATTCTCTTTAACCATATTGCTCCCATTTCTTCTGCTGCCTTGATGGCCTCAGCTGGTAGATCTGTCGCCTTTAGTCTAGGGGCGGTATGACAAGTGTTGATAACAACGCAAAAATGCTGGACTGGATTCATCCAAATCGGCAAGACTGCACAGTACCAAAAAAAAAATGGAAGAACATACAAGATGATTAACAGCAATTTATTTTATGACTACAGAATGCTCTAAAATAATTGTTTTTTGTGGCTGAATAGAATGTCTTCACTTTGTTCCTGTTGAATTCACATCTGAAAAGTGGCACTTTGAGTCACTGCCATCGAACCTGCAGGTTGCAATCCCAAAACGGATATACAAAAAAAAATTTTTTTTTACATTTTTATATCTCATACCTCGGCATCGTCAGCACTGTCTTCGGATTCACTGTCTGACAAGACAACGCCATTGCACTCCACAACTTCCTCCACATCTTCATCAGTGTTGCCAAGGTAAACAAATTTACTTCCCAACTCCATGGTACGCCAGATATCTGTGATAAAAGACAGACCAAAGTTAAATGTTTTACTGTAACTGAAAATGAATACAAATACTTCAAATGAAAAATATAATTATTACAACCACTTAATATCGTATTTGTCATTTTAGTCTACTTTGGAATCCTTGGATGCAAAGGATATTTGTCCTTAACTACATAGTACAATGTGGCATGAAGGGTTTGGAGATAATTTGTCTAGTAAAGTATAATGTGGAAAAGGGGGGGGGGTAAATTGGCAGTGAATTGGTCTTTAAAGACCCAGCAAAATATGAAAAGATGGATGTGTAAGCAGTTTAACTGTATTGATACAGTGCATAAGAGCGGCTGGCTGAACAGCTAAGAATGCTAAGCTCCCATGCAGGAGACCAGGGTTCGAAATCTCTAAGGTTGTGGATTTTTTCAATAAAATCCCGACCTGCCCAGTCCACGGTGATAGTACTAGCCATGCATGCTCTAAATCCTCAAGTTTTCAGACCCCTGCCTACACTGCAATAGTGGTAAATACAGGTAGTAATGGTACATACATTACAACGTGAAGATTGGGATACGTAGGCAGCTTATACTGGCAGGGACAGATGGGATATGTAGACAGTTTATACTAGCAAGGAAAGATGGGATATGTAGGCAGTTTACACTGGCAAGGAAAGATGGGATATGTAGGCAGTTTATACTGGCAAGGAAAGATGGGACATGTAGGCAGTTTATACTGGCAAGGAAAGATGGGACATGTAGGCAGTTTATACTGGCAAGGAAAGATGGGACATGTAGGCAGTTTATACTAGCAAGGAAAGTTGGGATATGTAGGCAGCTAATACCAGCAAGAAAAGGTGGGATTTTTAGGCAGTTTATACTAGCAAGAACAGTTGGGATATGTAAGCAGTTATACTGGCAAGGAGAGCTGGGATATGTTGGCAGTTTATACTAGCAAGGAGAGCTGGGATATGTTGGCAGTTTATACTAGCAAGGAGAGCTGGGATATGTTGGCAGTTTATACTAGCAAGGAGAGCTGGGATATGTTGGCAGTTTATACTAGCAAGGATAGTTGGGATATGTAGGCAGCTAATACCAGCAAGAAAAGGTGGGATTTTTAGGCAGTTTATACTGGCAAGGAAAATTGGGATATGTAGTCAGTTAATACTAGCAAGGAAAAGTGTTATATACCTTATGTAAACTAGCACAGCACATTGTAAAGAGTGAGGTGTGAAGATAGGTTGTCCTTACTTGATACAGTACAATTTGATAGTTGGAATTAAAGGCAGTATCCAAATGATCAGAAAGGGATAAGAAATGATATCAGGAAATAAGATGGAACAGAATCAGCATTAAACTTCATCAAGAGACAACAGATCAAATGGTTTGGACTTGTGTCAAGACTACCAGCAGACCATGCATCACAGAGAGTCCTATCAGACATAATGGAAGCAGAGCCACAGGTCGACCATGCAAGCGATGGATAAATGGAATAGCTGAGGCTGTAAATACCAGCATCTATGAAGCAAATGCTAAGGCTCTCTCCCGATGCCTCTTCAAAACCTGATGCTAAAAGACAATACAAGGCTTACGGAGAAGAAGAGGAACCTAAAATGAAGGCTGGCTGTAATGAATCTCCAAACACTTTGTCTCTTGCCCAGGGTGTTCCTTTTCCCAAACTACTGTTTATCCACCTCTTAATGTTATCCTCCCACTTGTGTCACTGTTTACTTTTTGTCCTTTTACCTTCAACTTCTCCAGTATGTTATGTCTTTTAATACGGCTAAAATGTTTCTCTTCGCTTTTTTCTTTTCTTTCAATCCCATCTTTTCAGGCTCAGTCATTCTAAAATGAGTGTATTTAACTTGTTTTGCTGTCACAAGATATGAGGTTATTAACATCCCCAGTGCCTGTTCATCAATCTAACGGTTTGTTTCTGCACCCCATAAAGCATAACTAAGAATACATGTTAGTTTCTGCACCCCATAAAGCATGACTAAGAAAACATGTTAGTTTCTGCACCCCATAAACCATGACTAAGAATACATGTTAGTTTCTGCACTCCATAAAGCATGACTAAGAATACATGTTAGTTTCTGCACCCCATAAACCATGACTAAGAATACATGTTAGTTTCTGCACCCCATAAAGCATGACTAAGAATACATGTTAGTTTCTGCACCCCATAAAGCATGACTAAGAATACATGTTAGTTTCTGCACCCCATAAAGCATGACTAAGAATACATGTTAGTTTCTGCACCCCATAAAGCATGACTAAGAATACATGTTAGTTTCTGCACCCCATAAAGCATAACTAAGAATACATGTTAGTTTCTGCACCCCATAAAGCATGACTAAGAATACATGTTTGTTTCTGCACCCCATAAAGCATAACTAAGAATACATGTTAGTTTCTGCACCCCATAAAGCATAACTAAGAATACATGTTAGTTTCTGCACCCATAAACCATAACTAAGAATACATGTTAGTTTCTGCACCCCATAAAGCATAACTAAGAATACATGTTAGTTTCTGCACCCCATAAAGCATGACTAAGAATACATGTTAGTTTCTGCACCCCATAAAGCATGACTAAGAATACATGTTAGTTTCTGCACAACATAAAGCATGACTAAAAATACATGTTAGTTTCTGCACCACATAAAGCATGACTAAGAATACATGTTAGTTTCTGCACCCCATAAAGCATGACTAAGAATACATGTTAGTTTCTGCACCCCATAAAGCATGACTAAAAATACATGTTAGTTTCTGCACCCCATAAAGCATGACTAAGAATACATGTTAGTTTCTGCACCCCATAAAGCATGACTAAGAATACATGTTAGTTTCTGCACAACATAAAGCATAACTAAGAATACATGTTAGTTTCTGCGCAACATAAAGCATAACTAAGAATACATGTCATTTGATAATTCTAATTTGTAATCTGCTTTTTATATATTGTTTTTCTCATGCTGCTGAAAATGTCTTTGGTGGTTTCAATTCATATTTATTTCTAAATAACTTCTGCTACTATCTGTTCTTACATGAAAATATATGAAAAAACTTTGTTAATGGTATTTTATAAAAACAAAATTGTTACAGTAAATGAAAAGTACACTTATCATTTATTATACTTAACACTTATCATCTAAAACTTTATAATCTATGCAATATTAAACAGGCAAAAGGCATGAAACAAACAATTATCCAGTATTTTACAAATTATTCCCCCCCCCCCCCCCCACCCACCCAACCCCGCCAAATATATATATATATCCCAATTATAACCTAGAAGTGTTGAATAGGATATCTGTGACGACTCCTGCAGTTACTTCAATACCTAGAAATAAGTTTGTAAACTGTCATTCCAACGCAGTCACAATAAAACTAACAACAATTATTGAACGGTACTTACGTGACCTTGAGTCTGAACTGTCTTAACTGGTTGAGCTGTGTTTGTGTCACACTTAGAAAGTAGTATTCTGTTTCTAAGTTTTGTTACCAGTTTATATACCCGCCAATGATCCGGGTCTATTTTTAGCCACTTATCTGTGTATGAGGATGGCTATAAAGTAGTTGTAATTTCTTGCTCGCAGGACAATGGGCAAAACCGAGTTTTAAAATAGTACCTTACGAAATCTGTTAATGGAGTCAAATCAAGCATGAGCGGCGTTCACGACTTGGCACCTGATGAACATTTATGAATTTGTTTTCATCAACAGATATTATAAATATAATATGTTGTCCTAGGCAAGCATTAATGTAGCTCTTGAATCCTAAACAGTTGGTACCTATGATAAAAAGCGTCTGATTGTGAACGGGTTTACAGACAAATCAAGATATGCTTAGAAACCAAACAGTGGCAACAGCTCAAGCAAAACAAAAGACTTCAAATCTCTAGAAAGCATAATAAAAACCCAATCAAAAAACATCAGCAGCATAAAAGATGTAATATTACAACAGACGAACGTCACCAAAAGGGAAGAACAACAAACATTTACCAATTGACACCAGAATAGCGCAGTATTTGTAGTATCCGCATTGTGTTACCTGTGCCAAACATGGACATTAATAGCAACAACAACAATAACAACAACAATCCAAACAACAGAAATGAAATGTGAACGCCGAATATTTTCAGTCTTACAAGAAGGGACATGATCAGAAACTGCGATATCTGGAAAACAAGCTGAGTGAGAATTAGTCCTAACGACACCAAGAGACAACATCGATTGGTTCGGACATGTGTCAAGACCAGTGGGTTTTTGCGGTGCGCAGCAGTACGCAGTGCCGGCACATTCTTTCATATAATTTTTCAGCACTATTGTAACATACACTTTGTGTATGACAGGATCCTCGCCGGTGCTACGGAGTTCGAATGGATCACTTATAGGTTACCACCCTTGCGCTATGATGTTGATCCATTGTTTAAAAAGAATAAGAAACACTTTGTTATGAGTACCTGGCACTGTTGTTAGACCTTGTCATTTACACACAGAGGAAGCAAATTATAAGGCGGTGAATATCTACGTAACACATACACACAAAGACTGGCACCAGATGACTTTTTAACACCTCTGACGTTGGAAAGCAGAACAGGGTCTAAAGAAAAGAATGAAATGATAAATTAGAAGAAGAAGAGGAGGAGGAGGAAGAAGAAAAAGAAGAAGAAGAGAAGAAGAGGAAAAAAAGAAGAAGAAAGAGGAGGAGGAAGAGGAAAAGAAGAAGAAGAAGAAGTAGTAGTAGTAGTAGTAGTAGTAGTAGTAGTAGTAGTAGTAGTAGTAGTAGTAGTAGTAGTAGTAGTAGTAGTAGTAGTAGTAGTAGTAGTAGTAGTAGTAGGAAGAAGAAGGAGAATTAAGTGTGGTTCTCTTTTGTCTTCCCTGGTATGCGCATGGTGTGAATCACACTTTTCTAAATCACAAATTTGCCTTGCAGGATGTCAAGATAACAGGGTTTAACAAGCTGTTAACAATTCCTGGAACTGACGCTCGTAAACAAAAC